AGTTTCAGAACTCAAAACTTTCTCGTTAATCTAAAAACGGCTTATACTGAAGCCAATCTGCCAAAACGACAGCTTGTGGAACGTGCCACTTTATGACATAATAGTGTGGCTAAACCCTGCAGAAGATCAATGCCTGCTTCTACATCACTGCCTGTTTACCCCCTCCCACCGATTCACACATGTATTGTAAATAACCAGAGAGGCAAACGCAGGTTAATGCATTTGACATCCAGTACAAGTGGCGATAATGCTTTTAAGGAGTTATTCACCATTAAACAAGAAGAAAAAGAAGCAGGTCTATGCAGAAAAAAGCTATTAAAATGGTTCATGAACCCTTTAAAACATTTTTCATGCTTTTATTTTAAAGGGGTCATATGATGTTGCTAAAAAAAGAACATTATTTTGTGTATTTGGTGTAATGAAATGTGTTTGAAACACATTATTTTCCACATACTGTACATTATTGTTTCTCCTCTATGCCCCACCTTTCTGAAACGCGTCGATTTTTACAAAGCTCATCAGTCTGAAAAGCGAGGTGTGCTCTAATTGGCCAGCTATCCAGTGCGTTGTGATTGGCCAGATACCTCAAGCGTGTGATGGAAATGTTACGACCCTCACCATACTGTGATGCCGTCTCCTGGCACGACCAGACAAAACCAATAAAAACCCATTACAAACGAGGCATTGTTTGCATCCAGTGGGGACATAATTACGGATTATAATGACTTATACTGTCTTTTTACACGCTGCATTGCATCGCGCCGCGTAAACATAAAACCATGTCTGCATTTGTGATCGGAGAAATGACAAACAACAAACGCTACTCTACACTGCTCAAAACTCGTGTTTGAATCGTCAGTGGCAAATCCTTTAAATGAAAACGTACTTACAGTCTGTGAGTCAGAACAGCCGGCATTGTTGTCTACTCTCACAGGAAACAGTACTCCATAAACTGCTGCACTCTTCTTAATATTTGGGTTGAACTGTTCTGGAACAGTGTTGTAAATACAACTTTACCACTGATTTCTAGTTGTGTCCTTCCAAAAGAGCCGGCGGCTTGAGAGAGCGGAGGTCGGCGGCTAGAGTGAGCGGAGGCCGGCGGCTTGAGTGAGCGGAGGCTGGAGGCTGGAGTGAGCGGAGACCAGGGGCTAGAGTGAGCGGAGGCTGGGGGCTAGAGTGAGCGGAGACCGGGGGCTAGAGTGAGCGGTGGCAGGCAGGCTAGAGTGAGCGGAGGCCGGGGGCTAGAGTGAGCGGTGGCAGGCAAGCTAGAGTGAGCGGAGGCCGGGGGCTAGAGTGAGCAATGGCAGACAGGCTAGAGTGAGCGGAGGCCGGGGGCGAGAGTGACCGGAGGCCGGCGGGCTTGCGGCAACCACATGTGACGACCCCGAGCTGGACTCCGCTTCATCCATGGTGAAAGCCGATCCGGCGATCCACAGCGTGAAGTTGATGTATTTCCTCAGTGATCAGCACGGATCAGCTCCAGGCATGACGAAGCGGATATCGTCCTCTTTTGGAAGGCCAAACAAAGTAGTTTCGGTTTCACAACGAAACACACGGCAACAACAATACTAGAGCGAGAATCAAAGTTACACCTTTCTTTGCGTGAACATTTGGTCGGTATTATGCAAATCTTCCCACATCGTGATGTAGACATGTGTGGGCGTGTTAGAACAAGCCATTTTAGGTAGGCGTGGTTGACTCTTAACTTTTATAAAGAAGATCTCTTTGGATTTTTGGAAATTTGAGACTTTAGTTTTTGCAACTTTACAGATCTTCTTTATGCACCAAGAGCTTGTAACACTCCAAAGAGAAAGGTAAAAAATTGAAATCGCATGATATGACCCCTTTAATGGCGCATTTTGAAGTCGCAGCATATTGTTTTCATCTGAAATTTGTGTGCAATGACCGTCATGTGACATGTATATGAGCGCCCCTGCTGTTTGATATTTGAATCAAATGTTGTGTGATATTTAAATGCTCAGCTCTCTGTGGACCAGCCTCAGCAGAACAGACTGATTTCTCGGAGGAGTGAGCAAGTGCTGAGCTAGACGTGGGTGGCACAATCACACTAAGGAGAATGCGTGGGTCCAGGGCTTATTCCAGGATCTGATCAGCAAGGCAGAGGAGCACGATTTTAATGAGTAATACTTTACTAACTGCCATTACAGAGGGACACATTATCACACAGCCTATCAAAGTCATGGTGAACACAGTCATACATCATTATTATGGGGCTGAGGCCTACAGCAAATATCCATCAGGCAGTGTGAAAACGGGAAGAGGAAAGGTACTAATAATGGTGACTAAACCTGTGCTGTGGTTCCATTACAGTCTGTTTGCTTCCAGCTTTTCCTTTTGTACCTTTACATCTCAAAAGGTACTACAATGTGCCTTTAAGATATGCATCTTTTAGGTTAAAAGAGAAACAAACTTGAAAGCTTTTTGTACCTTTTTTCCTGAGAGTGAAGGGAAATAAATCACGCATGATGAATAAAGTGCTCAGATATCAGGAAAATAAAATCAACTAATGCAGCCTATACAGGGAACGTTTTTAGAATTTGGAACGTTCTGGCAAGGTTCTCACAAAGTTATGAACAAACGTTCTTCCATTAATAGAATGTTTGTTAAAAGTTCTCTGGTTTTTAATAATGTTTTCAAAACATTAGCACAAAAACATTTTTATACATCATTCATGGAACGTTTTTTCATGAAAAGGTAGATGTTCTGTTGGATGTTCATCTAACATTTTTGGAAACGTTAGAAAAATGTTATTAAAACATATTCCCAAATTTGATTCAATTCAGTGCTGAAATATTTTATGCCTCATTTTCTTTACTTGACAAAAGACAATATGTATAAAACAAGCGGTGGCCTAATGGTCTCGGCACTCGGCACTTTCACTTTTTTGAATACATCTAAAATGTAGATTAATTTATTGCTTCCCAGACTCTCTCTCGCACAAAATAAACATACAAAATACTTCATGCATACTTCTAAATTCATATATACATACATCAAACTCTCCATGATTAATTTACACATGCATATGTACATAAACTCTCCAAACTGCAATTTAACATAACTACTCTCACAGCTGCAAACACTTTTCAAACATGAGTAGTGTTCTATAAATATCCTTCTTAAAGGCATCTGATCATGAAGTAAAATAGGGTTTGGTCCTCAGCATTGATGTTGAGAAACTGACAGGTGCAAACACAAAGCTGCTGCAGAAAGGCATGACAATGATAAATATCAACCAGCGGCCGTCAGCCATCAGAACCAGGAAAGCATCTCTCATTTGATTTCTTACTGAAGCAATATTCAGAGGGACCTACTCACTATGAGTGGGCTGTTATGTTGCCATGGTAATGATTTTCTTCCCACTTAGTTTCTGCTGCTTAATATATTGGGTTTAGGGTGACACCTTGTGGGAACCAAGAGCAGCTGCACTCAGTCAACGACTGTAAGAAAAGTATTGAAAGTTTTGTTTTACAGTATATATTCTATTCTATTCTATAGACCTTAGTCATTGTGTTTTTAACAGGAATTACAACAAGACTGTGAGGGATAGAAGTGCAGTCAATGAGTTGTACTAAGTCAATTCAATATGGTGTAATCAAAGTCTATTCTGTTCTATTCTATTCTATTCTAAAAGAGTTCAAGCTGCTGTTTTGTAAGTTCTCATTTGAACTTTTGAAAATTACTTTATATTCACAAATGAACAGTTATAAATCTTAGTCAACAAACTTTTTAACCATAACAAACATCTTCAATTTCCTTCCATTATAGGCCTATTTGTATTAACCGTTTCCGTTCTGCCATAAATCAAATGAAATAAAACTGAACATAATAAAACTAATTAAAAGATCATATGTGTAAATACATCTGAAATCTTTCATTCAAGAGAAGAATACTGAATTAAATTTTATTTCTAGTCATAGTATTAGTGAGAATTTTGCAATGGCGGGATGATTGGAATGCTCAAAAGAGCTATAATTTATCATTTATTATTATTTTCATTCATTATTTTAAGTATTTTGCACACGTGTGTACTTTTCAAACTACATTCTTTTAAACAAATTTTATTTTCTTGTTTATCATTATTATTATTATTCACATATATATGACTGCAGGCTATAAGTAACTAATGTATCACTGTATAATTAATGAATGACTCTTTTTTTATAGAAAACATTTGGTTTTTATCTTAAACAATGTGTTGTATGTGACAAACAATCCACCCAGCTAACAGGAAATGTGCTCACAACTTTCAATAACGATTTATAAAAATGACATAAATATCAGGACAAAACATTCCTAAATGTTTATGAAACGTTCTAATAACTTTATTAATATTTGATATATGTTCTTATGAGAGTAAACATTCTGATTTCAACATTCCCGGAAAGTCTTTATGATGTTATTTGTACTTGATGTATTTATGTTAAGAGAAAACATTCTTAGAATATGAAAAAAAAAACTTTCAAATAACGTATGCTACTTTGGGTAAAAATAAAATTAGTTGAACGCAGCAAGGTTTTCGACACCTTTAAATAATGTTCTAATCATGGCAAGAAAACGACATTTTAACTTTCTTAGAACATTTAAAATAAACATTCAAATAAAGTTTTATATTGGGTGAAATAGCCAAGTCGAATGCTGTAAGAAGTTTTTGTAACCTTTAAATAGCGTTATAATCACGACCAGAAAATAGGACATGTCTAAATTTTAGAAACATCTTAAAACGATGTTCCCACAACGTTTTTATAACCGAAATGTGTTCCTTGGGTGAGTAAATTTACTTGAAAAAAGGACAGACTGGACATCCATGTAAACCACTAATCGCTGCCACATCAGTTGATGAAAATACTGAACTGAAACCGAGCTTGAAGCAAAAATAAATAAGTTCCTGAAACATTTGAGCGCAGATATTTTACTATAAAATGCATTGAAAGTTATAAACTACATTTCCCATGATTCCAAGTTCTTGCTCCGATTACAACGCTTGATGACGCTTTTGCCAACATGGCGGCTTACAGTTTCTGTCACACTAGAGTACACATCCTAGTGGAGACCTGACTGTTTGTGTTTCTGAAAGCTGAATATATGCGTTCAATACGGAGTTTAATCCTCAGATCTTTGTTCGATGGGAAGATGTGATATGCAGTTTGAAGCCACAATATTGTTTCTTTATTCAGGAATAACATGTTAGTGAGCTGATAGAGATGATGTCTCTGTTTAGATCCCACGGGCTCTTTCTGCCCTTGATAAAACGCTTTCCTGATATTAAAATATGCCGTGTTAAACGCATATCTCAGGGCTGCATGACCACATGTACAGTGATCAGACACAGATGGATGAAAAGATCTTGCTGGAGCATCAGTCCTGTCAGAGAATTCAGCTCTAGTGCTTCTGAGAAGGTAAATTGTGTCGCTTTGCTGTAAGCAAAATCATATATAGCCAATATTGATCTAATATGATTTTACAGTAGTAACTATGGTATTTTCCTGTACAGTTATAGAAAGCGGATTTCTAAACTGATGGGCTTCATTGCAACTGGATAATGAATTTGACTTGTTGTTTTGTTTTGTTTTTCAGGAGAATCTTGACATGTCAAAGTTCCCAGTGGAGAGAATTCGTAATTTCAGCATTATTGCTCATATTGATCATGGCAAGAGCACTTTAGCTGACAGACTTTTGGAGATCACGGGTGATTTTCTGTCAAACAACTATTACAGGAGTTTCTTTATAAGTTTTGAAAACATTACTATTTATGAAATCTCTGTTTCTTTGGATTTGTTGCATGAGCAGGTGCCATTGCAAAGACAGCGAGTAACAAGCAGGTGCTGGATAAACTGCAGGTGGAGAGAGAAAGAGGAATCACTGTTAAAGCTCAGACTGCATCTCTCTTTTACCAGCATGACGGACAGACGTATCTGCTCAATCTCATCGACACACCTGTGAGGACATTGATTTGAACAGCACTGTTAATGAACTCATCTTTTAGCATTTACTATAATTTGAGTGATTGCAATATTTTATTTTTAGGGTCATGTTGACTTCAGCTATGAAGTTTCACGGTCCATATCCGCTTGCCAAGGAGTTCTGCTTATTGTAGATGCAAATCAGGTAAAACACTTAATAAATGACACTTTCTTCTTATTAAACGGTTAAACAGAGTTAAACAGAGTAGTAAAGGTTCTTCAGTTTTTGATTTCTGAGCCTGTTTTTCAAAAGATGTAATCAGTGAACATATGCACTTTTAGCAGTGTTATTTTAGTATTATTTATATAATATTAAATATTAATTAATATTTTGAATGATAATCGGTTATCGGTATCCGCCAAAATTTTCATATCGGTGCATCCCTAATATATATATAATATTTATTTTTTTTTAGTTTAAGTTTTAGTAATTTGTTGTGTTTTTGTATAACAATTTGGATATAGATTTATCGGCCAACATATCGGTTATCGGCTTTCAAAAATAAAGAATAATCGGTTATCGGTATCGGCCAAAATTTTCATATCAGTGCATCCCTAATATATATATAATATTTTTTTTTTTTAGTTTAAGTTTTAGTAATTTGTTGTGTTTTTGTATTTTTTTATTAGTTTTTGGGAAATTTTAAAACTTTTACTTTTAAATCTTTTTTATTTATTTTATTATTATTTCAGTTTTAGTCATTTTAGTGCCTCTCTGCTTCAGCTTAAACTTATTTTATTTCAGTTTCAGTTGCCATGATAACACTTCTCATTTTTAAGTTTATAGCTTAAGTTTATATTTTAGGTTTCATCTAATATTTACATTTGCTTTTATTTCAGCTTTATTACAATAAAGAAAATAATTTATAAAGGTTTTACTTTTAAAAAAAACAGCACAAGCACATTGTACATATATTAGCATAAATACACTATTATTATTAAAAAGCTTCAGCCTTTCTTAATTACCTTAAAAGTGAATTAATCTTTACATTGTTTCTTTCATTCAAAGGGAATTCAAGCGCAAACAGTCGCCAATTTCTACCTGGCATTTGAGGCTCAACTGACCATCATCCCTGTGATAAACAAGGTAGATATTATAAAGAGAATTTCTGATATTTCCTTTAAATGCAGTCAACATTTTATATAGAGTATGCAAGTAAAAAACACAAAGTTTCATCCTAGTCCTTTGGATAAATTATAGAAATGTCTTTGTCCAACTCAAGTTGAGTACAGAGGCAGGACACAGTGCAGAAGGTTTTGGAAAACTTAAAATTTGTATTCAAATACCTGAAGCGTTTTGATCTTTTGATGTTTATCAGATCATGTGTGGACATTTATTATTTTGCATTCATCCAAATGCTTTGTGACAGTTCTCTAGTATGTTTTGAAATTGTTGCATTACTTATTATGATATATAATTACATTTATTATTATTATTCATCATGACATTTGGCCTAGTAATGAGCTAATAGTTATTTTAATAGATACTGCGTGTTTTGTATATTTTCACATCGACTTTTTAGCTGTCGGCTCATTCCAAATCCAAACATGTGGCATTTTAATGTGTTTTTTTAATGGTCAGATTGATTTGAAAAATGCTGATCCAGAGCGAGTGGAAAAACAGATTGAAAAAGTCTTTGATATTCCGAAGGAAGAATGTATCAGGGTGAGCTCTATGTAAATATCTCTTAAAATAACCAGTCATGTTTTTGTTTATGTATACAAATATTATGCCATTTATATTTTACTTTGGCTTGTGATTGTTTTCTGTAGATCTCTGCAAAACTGGGCACAAATGTGGACCAAGTTCTCCAAGAGGTGGTGAAACGCATTCCTCCGTGAGTGTCATAAGCTGATTCACTTTTCTCCACAAGAGTTCACTGTGAGAGTGTAAGAGCAGCACATACTATGTGGGAGGGATTTATTGATTGTATTTGGCCATCTTTGAATTCATGAGATTGTGTCAGACAAAAGGAACACAATGACCCCCACAACCTAGATTACATCTTTCTAAACAGGATTATGAAGAAGGAGAGGCCGACAACAATGAATCATACGTTAGAGTTCACACAATAGAGAGAATATTTTGAATCAACCGATGTGTGATGTCAGGAAGAACAGAAGGTTCCATGATACAGCTGTTATCAGAGCAAGAACAGAATTAGTTACAGAGACCGGGCTTCTGCATCTCACAAAACCTGTCAACAATTCACTACAAAAGACAAAAATAAGCTTTTTTTGTTTTATATTTGGTCATTTATATATTTGAAGAAATGGTGCCTGTTTTTGTAATATAGAGAGCTTATAAATTTGTAAAATATAAAATTGCATTGTGAAATTATTTGCAAAACAGTTAAGCACATACATCCCCCCCAAACAGTAATGCACAATATACATTCAAAGGCTTTGGGTCAGTAATAAAAAATATTACTCATGCTCAGTAATATTGTGAAATAATTAAAAATAAATGTTTTCTATGTGAATGTAATTTATTCCTGTGATGCAAGGCTACATTTTCAGCATCATTACTTCAGTCTTCAGTGTCACATGATCCTTCAGAAATCATTCTGAGATGCTGATTTGCTGCTCAGGAAACATTTCTTATTATTATTAATGTCGCAAACATTTGTGCTGCTTAATATTTTTGTGGAAACTGAGATGCATTTTTTTTCAGTGGTATTTATTTATTAAGTTATTATTAAGTAACCATTCGAATTAAGTATTTGCTACTGTAATGTTAAAATAACTTTTCCTTACATTCACATATGTATTAATTCCGTGTGAATATTTACAAAGTAGCTGTGATCATGAGGATAGGAATGAATCAGGAAGTTTTATTTTGGTAAATCTACGTCCTCGTGTGTCATCATGTGCTTTCCCAAAACCTGCTCGGCTACATTCTCCATCATCTCACATTTCCTCCATTATGTGTTTTTTTTTTTTTTATATAACTTCTTTCATAACTTCTTCCTTTTCAAGTACATTGTTGGCATTGCACCTGAAGGACAGTTTTCAAATGTATAAATAAGGCATTTCATTCTTTACAAAGAAGTGCCATGAGAAATGAATTTGTTTTCATACATTTCTGTACATGTGATTGATCAGTTTTTCCTGTTTCAGTCCGACAGCGAGAGTGGACGATCTGTTTAAAGCCCTTGTCTTTGACTCCACCTTCGATCATTACAGAGGAGTAGTGGCCAACATCGCTCTGTTTGGTGGACGTGTGTCCAGAGGAGACAAGATCGTCTCTGCCCATCTGGGGAAGTCATATGAGGTCAATGAGCTGGGCCTTTTGAGACCCGACGAACACCCAACAGAGACACTGTGAGAATCTCACGTTCACTGACCGCACTAACAAATCTCACAAGATATAAAATAAAAATCTGTCAGCCTGAACAGTTCTGTATGAAGATACGAGTTTCAAAGGCAAAAGTATGCCACATTTAAAGATGTAGAACAAAATCAAGTAATCTTAAAACACGAGTTTTCGACCTTTACAGTCCCAGCCAACCCAGAGACTCCAGTGTAATAAAAGCTATATTTATTTTTTTATTAGTAACCTTTCAGTTTCCTTTCTGCATTTTTATATAGAATTTTTTTACAAATGAATACAGTACAGTTTTGTAATTATGTATTTGTTATATTGGTTGGATACAATTAATTTAAGAAAATTGTTCTAATTCCAAAACTGAGAGTGCACTGAAATTTAGAATTTAAAATTACATTTTAAACCTATACAAAATAGTGAGTTTCATGATTTTGGAATAAAAAATAACATTGAAAATTATAAATGAGAATTAAAATTAAAAAATTTAAAGATTCATAAATCCCTAATTAATTATTGTTTTTAAATTTAAGAACATTGTTTTGAGGGGTCCAAAACTCTGAGATTGCTCTGAAATGTAGGATTAAAAATTTTATATTAAACCTAAAAATAAAGATTTTGCCATTTTGAAAAAGAAAAAAAAAAGGACATTTTAAGATTATGAATAACATGTGTAAGAAACTGTAAGAAGGAAGCATTTTTCAGGTTTCAGACAGTCTGTCGGTTGCACTAACTTAACATTTGACCTTTTGCATTTTGACCTTTTTTCGCTCAGGTATGCAGGGCAGGTGGGTTACGTGATCGCAGGGATGAAGGAAGTGAAGGAGGCTCAGATTGGAGACACACTTTACCTCCATAAACAGCCTGTGGAGGCGCTGCCAGGGTTCAAACCGGCTAAATCCATGGTCTTTGCAGGTGTGTTTCCAAAACCGTCCTGATGTTTGTGCTAAACTGCGTATGCCAAAATTTAAAGGTTAGGATTACAGTGTTGTAAATCTGGAATTGTGTGACACTTTCAGGCATGTATCCCATGGACCAGTCAGAATACACAGCCCTGCGCAGTGCTGTGGAGAAACTGATGCTGAATGACTCCAGCGTGACGGTTCAAAAGGACAGCAGTTTAGCTCTGGGGGCTGGATGGAGGTATATACACACACACACACACACAGACGAATCAGTGTGAGTGTAAACCATTGTTTTAAGTTCATCGCTCAGTCGAGCAGGTATTGTTTCACTTTTTAAATATTTAAAGAGGTGACTTTCTCTCTTTCGCTCTCTCTCAGGCTGGGATTTCTGGGTTTGCTGCATATGGAGGTGTTTAATCAGCGTTTAGAACAGGAGTATAATGCATCTGTCATAGTAACGGCTCCGACTGTACCGTACAAGGCTGTGCTAGCATCTGCCAAACTCATAAAGGTGAGACTCATTGTCGCAATATGCTAAAAACCACCCAGAACACCTTAGCAACTGTACAGCAACTTGCTATATACTATACATCATAACAACTGCATAGAAACATGCTAAAAACTACTCTGACCACCTTAGGAACTGGATAGAAACATGTTAAAAACTGTCCGGAATACCTTAGCAATTGCACAGGAACGTGTTAAAAACTAGCCAGATTACCTTAGCAGCAATATAGCAATGCCCTGGCATTGTGTTGGTGAGTTTTGCACATGCAACCTCCTTTTTCTTCTTTGTAGGAACACGGTGAAGAAGTGATCACCATCATCAACCCTGCTCAGTTCCCTGATAAGTCAGAGGTCGTGAAGTATCTGGAACCCATGGTGATGGGAACCATCATCGCTCCAGATGACTTCACTGGGAAGATCATGACCTTGTGTCAGGTGAGATTAGGTCAGTCACCTTTCAGGTTGACTGCAGTTTAGCGTGGTTTACTCTAAGTAACTCACAAAATAACAATCTTGGTCTCTCCTAATTCAAAGAAAAAGTCCAAAGCGACTAAATCTACTTAATTTGCCTCCCAGTTTCTGTGAAAGCATATTCTGAGTCTTGCATTTGTAGTGACCCACAATGCGATTCTCTGCCTTTTTAAAGAGCCGCAGGGCCGTTCAGAAGAACATGTTCTACATCGATGAACATCGGGTGATGATAAAGTATATCTTCCCTCTAAACGAAATCGTGGTGGACTTTTACGACCAGCTCAAATCCATGTCATCAGGATACGCCAGGTGAGCTCGTTGTAAAAGAGTGAATTAGTGCTTATATTAATAATAATACTTTTATATAGCACATTTCAGAAACTCGAGGTCGCTTTACAAATACATAATACATGAAACAAATACATAATCCAAGCAGAACAAACCCAGATAGCACACGTACGTCTGCAAGATGTCTGTTAAAGATCGCTTCATCTGGAAAGCATCTGCTGTGTACAAACACCTGATAGACGTCAGTTTTGCATACATTCTAAATCATAAACATCTTAAAGACATTTTCTAAACGTCTATTTGACATCTGATCTAAACTTCCTTTAGCTGTAATGCAGATGAGCAAACACTAAAAAATATGTCTTGTAGACGTCTCCGTGATGTACGTGCGCTATCAGGGAACATTACACAGGCAAAAGTAAACAGAGACGAATAAAAGTGAGATACGACAGAGTAGGGACGGGGAAGTTTCAGCAAAGGATACATTTATTTGCAGCACAAAAAATCGCTTGCAGTAGCTCTGCTACTAAACTTATTTAAAAATGGCTATCCCTGTACAGCTATGATCAGCTGCTCCTTCATCTTGGCTGAGCTTTCAATGTTGTTACAGGAAAGGATGAAGCTGATTTGTTGGTTCTTGTCACATTCTGAAAAGTTGAAATGTTTTTATCTCGATGCGGCGCGGGCGCACCTGGAAAATATGAGCGCGTCGCTTCCATTATGAGCGCGCAAAAGACGAGATATGTGAATGGCCCCTTATGAAACATTAGAAAAAGACTAATGTTAGAAAACATCGAATTTTGATATCTGGATAGATATGTCACTTTAAATTTCTGGATGAGCTGGATGTCACTTCTTTAAATTTGTTTTCCTGTTTTCCATAGTTTTGATTACGAGGATGCTGGTTATGAGGCTGCTGACCTGATTAAGATGGACTTCCTCCTCAACGGGCGGCCAGTGGAGGAACTTGCCACTATCGTTCATAAGCAAGTCTTGACCTTTCATGATACAATTACAGTTTTATTTATATTTCAAGAGGTATTTCTAAGTTATTTGATCATTTAGAGGTAATTAATTACCCAAACCCCTTAAAAATGTGAATATGGCTATTAAGATCAACAGCTGTGTTTAGTTTTTTTCTGAAAAACACAACTACAGCTACCATTTTGTGTATGATTTGAGCTGGAAATTGGTGGCATCTCGATTTCATCTTCCATGTTTGTGATGTGATTGCTAAAAAAAAAATGACACAAGCTCTGATTTGTCCTTGTGTTCAGAGACAAAGCGTACAGTGCAGGTAAAGCTATATGTGAGAGACTGAAGGAGTCCATCCCCAGACAGATGTTTGAGATTGCAGTGCAAGCAGCCATTGGCAGCAAGATCATCGCCCGAGAAACGTAAGTGTGGACGTATTGTATTGTGTGTGTTTCCGAAATAACTTAAAGGAATAGTTAAAAAATGAAAATGTGCTTAATTATGTCACCCTCAGGTCATCCAAGATGTAAGTGAGTTTGTTTCTTCATCAGAACAGATTTGGAGAAATGTAGCATTACGTCACTTGCTCACCAATGGATTCTCTGCAGTGAATGGGTGCCGTCAGAATGAGAGTCCAAACAGCTGATAAAAACATCACAATCATCCAGAAATAATTGACAACTCTAGTGCATTAATTAACATCTTGTGGAGTGGCGTGTTTGTAAAAAAAACAAATCCATTATTAAGCCGTTCTTAACTTTAAACCTTTGCTTCCGTCGAAAATATGAGTCCATAATCCGTAATATTTCTTTCTCAAGTGAAAAAGTTGTCTTGTCTGAATCAGGAGATAAATATGCACAGATCAAGCACCATTTACATGTAAAAACAGTTGTAAACAAATACGTGGGTGGATTTTGATGTGAGAGGACAACGGGATGGACTTTTTCACTGGAGGAAGCGTTATTATGGATTATGGACTAGTATGCACTTCTGTATTTTGGCCAGAAGTGACAGTTTAAAGTTCATGCCTTAATGATGGATTTGTTTCTTACAAGCATGCAGCTTTTTACTTCATAAGACGTTAATTGATAGATTGGAGTCATGTGGATTACTTTTGATTTATTGTGATGTTTTTATCAGCGGTTTAGACTTTCATTCTGACGGCACCCATTCACTGCAGTGCAAGTGATGTAACGCTAAATGTCTCCAGATCTTTTCTGATGAAGAAACAAACTCATCTACAGCACATCATGGATGGCCTGAGGGTGAGATAAATTAGAAGCAAAACTTTCTTTTTGGGTGAACTACTCCTTTAATATTCCTTATCTTCGTTTCCCACTTTTAGGATAAAAGCATATCGAAAGAATGTTCTAGCAAAATGTGTGAGTACCTCTTCTCATACAGAAAAAAATGTTCTTCTACTTTTTTGATTAGCTGCTGATTCTTGATCACATCTGTCTTTCTTAGTACGGCGGTGACGTTACACGAAAAATGAAACTGCTAAAGAAGCAGGCTGAGGGAAAGAAGAAATTGCGCCGCATTGGAAACATTGACGTCCCAAAAGACGCGTTCATCAACGTTCTTAAACGGAAGTAGTTCCTTCAGTAACATAATCATAACAGACATCAAAGCCGGGGGTTGATTTGTGAAAATAAACATGCCAATGTTCAGTATGATGATTGATTTAGAAATGCTATTAAAGTTCATATAACTAAGTGATGTTGATCTGGGAACATAAAGCAGGTTTGACAAATTCATCTTAATCATGTTGAAACAACAGCATTGTTCTCCCAGGAGCGGATTCAGAGACTGCAAGCTAAGGGTTTTCATTGGAAACGTTTAGACTGTGTGGATGCAGAAGTATTTGGCAGAGCTGTTTTCCTTTGAACACATTTCATTTCCATCAAGCTGCAGAGGGAGTTGCAGTGGTTGTGGATGTAAGGCTGAAAATAGTCCAGTCTAGGACATTTTCTCAAACATTTCTGTGTTTGAGCTTTTGCTACTCTAAGAAAAAATCAGGTGATTCTGAAAAGACTAGAACATGTCCATGTCATATTTCACCCCATAATCAAAAACATATAAGTATTTTATAGTGCATATAGAAAATTAACCCTGTTTTAGGGCAATAAATGTTTTTTAATACTTTGACAATATTTTTAAGACAGTTGCAATTGAGCATACCACCTTTCTAATTGGTGGCCTGCTAAAAAGTAAAAGAAGAAAAAATCTTCAAAAATATGCTGCAAAAATATTGTACAACGCCAAGATTACTGTCAGGCTAGCAAGCTGCCTCAGGGGTTTGTGACATTTGTCAGCATTTGTCAATGTCAAAATAATTTAGATGGCAAGTCAAATCAAAGAAAGGTGTGCTTTACTGTTATTTGACAATCGAGAGAAATATCCAGGGTTGGAAACTAGTCAAATTTCGGCCTTTTTAATTGAAAAAACGTTATTCATATTGGAATGGCTTTGACTCGAGTGTGTTTCGAGCTTGTGGTTAGGACAGTCATTTAGACTGCTAAAATAAATATATTATTTGAAAACCATTTGAATGCATTACGCTTCAATAAATTGTTCTTTATTCGATTATTACAGATATGGAGAACATTAAATTGTACCCCATTGGGGTTAGGATTTTTGATGCCAGTTTTGGGAGGGTAGTTATGATGTTGCTCAAGATTTGTGAATCAATCTACTGGGAGAGCAATGTTTGAATTGCTTGCTAGTGAACTGAAGAGGTGAATGTATGTATTTCAGCCATATTATTCGAACGTACTCAAAAAATAGTATTTTCCTCAGGTATATATGGTTATATTGTTTTCTTTATAACCAATTTTGAATGTGGAAATGACTTGTGAACTATGTGCAACATGTGGTACTCAAAATATGATCTGGACATCTTTTTGTAAGATTCATTGTGTCTGTGTGAGGCACAACTTTTTATTTATCCATTCATGAGTACAGAAAGACACAAGAGGATGATTTGGTTTTTGGAGTGCAAAAACTGTTAACAGTCAGTTCACAATCTTTTAACAATTTAATGGAAAGAAATGTGTAAATCCATAAAAATGTATACTCTCCTTCCAAAAACATTCACTAAAGTACAGTGCATGAGGGTTTAGAAACACCAAAAACAAAAACTCAGCACAAACGTAAATTGTTCTTTATTCGATTATTACAGATATGGAGAACATTAAATTGTACCCCATTGGGGTTAGGATTTTTGATGCCAGTTTTGGGAGGGTAGTTATGATGTTGCTCAAGATTTGTGAATCAATCTACTGGGAGAGCAATGTTTGAATTGCTTGCTAGTGAACTGAAGAGGTGAATGTATGTATTTCAGCCATATTATTCGAACGTACTCAAAAAATAGTATTTTCCTCAGGTATATATGGTTATATTGTTTTCTTTATAACCAATTTTGAATGTGGAAATGACTTGTGAACTATGTGCAACATGTGGTACTCAAAATATGATCTGGACATCTTTTTGTAAGATTCATTGTGTCTGTGTGAGGCACAACTTTTTATTTATCCATTCATGAGTACAGAAAGACACAAGAGGATGATTTGGTTTTTGGAGTGCAAAAACTGTTAACAGTCAGTTCACAATCTTTTAACAATTTAATGGAAAGAAATGTGTAAATCCATAAAAATGTATACTCTCCTTCCAAAAACATTCACTAAAGTACAGTGCATGAGGGTTTAGAAACACCAAAAACAAAAACTCAGCACAAACTCCGAAAGCGATGAAATGAAAGTTAAATGTCAGACTCGTGCCTTATATTTTTGAGAAACGAAATAGCCTGTATATCACAAAGAACAGAAACTAAAGAGAATACACGAGTACTGCACATCGTGAGAAATTAGTCAACTTCAAAAGCATTCACACACTTCTCTACTCATGTGCCAATAAAAGCCTTTTTAATATATGAACAAGCAAACACGAAATACACTTTTCCAGCATTTTCCACTGGCTTTTACATGCTGCAAGTAACCTGGATTCATTCAAAGGCAAGATTATGAAATGTATAAATTTAAGATAATGATATATAAAATTACATGTACTTAGTAGGAAATTCTGATCGCAGTTCAGCTTCCACTGCCTATTAACTCATATTTATCAGGATATAAGACGCTACAAATGATTGTGGGTATCAGAAATCCTCAAGGTTTCATATGTAAAGGGAGAGATTCTAAATTTGGAGAATTTAAGGAAAAGACTTTAAAGTGTAATTATGTAACATCTAAAAAAAACTATTCCCAAAAAACACGTTCAATAAGTTGCCTTGGAGTACAATTCCACATTCAAGTTAACTTTAAGTAGCTGTGTGTTACAGTGTGTTATTAAAAAAAACTCCATCATCAGTGAAAACACATGCTCAGCTTTAAATGCAGGCCTTCATTATTTCCTGAATAAACTACAGTACAATACAACTGATATGTACACTGTAACAGAAGATTTTTTTTCATTAGTGATGTGAAGGAGTGTGATAGTGTTATATAAAACAGTAAACAGCTGAAAGTGTTAATAAAGAATGTTTCTTAGTACAATTTCCATAAAACATGGTCTTTTCCTGTTAATACTGGCCTTGAAGTAGTTTAGAAGTGAATTATAAAGGCTAATACAGAGGTCCAGTTGGAGTACGTGAACATGGCACCATGGAAAGCAGAGGCGTTTTGTACAACATCTACTTTTTATGCTGATGTAGACCTCTAAACACTTTATGACCATTCAAAACTGCTGTGGTCCCTGAGGCCAGTTTCCACTCATGGCATTCCGATTTTTCTGTCGTTTTTCCAGACGTTCCGTCTGGTGCGTTCAGTCCATGTAGTCCTTCACGCTGAGCATCGGCTCAACTAGCTGATTGTGGACGTGCATCAGCCCTGTAGGAGAGAAGATTCATCAGTATGTTTAGGAAATCCAGCCCAGCCAAAGATATTAAACCCCCAGGAGAGACCAAAGCCCTTAAGACGGGACAGATCGTGTTTCTGAGAAAAGCGATTGTGATGGACATTCCAGACGGGTTTAGATCTTGAACCTGCCGTCTTTAGACAGATATTGACCTTGAGACGAGCCAACCACTAAAACCGAGATGAGATCAGTAAAAACGATGAAAAGCAAACAAACAGCTGCTCTATTGGGTTTGCTACGAGGGAAAAAAGGATGGCGAAAATTGTGGGGTTGGTAAGATTTTTTTTTTAATGTTTTTAAAAGACCTCTCTTAAGTTCACCAAGGCTGCATTTTTTTTCATGAAAAATACAGCAAAACATTAATATTGTGAAATATTTAGTGCTGTCAAATCGATTGATTGCATCCAAAATAAAAGTTTGTTTACATAATATTTGTGTGTGTGCTATGTGTATATATATATATATATATATATGCGCTTTATATTATATTTAAATATAAATATATATTTCTTAAATACCTAAATGTATGTGTTTGTATTTATATATACACATAAATATACACAGTACACACACACATATATTATGTAAACACAAACTTTTATTTTGGATGCGATTAATCGATTTGACAGCACTAGAATTATTCTAACAATTTTAAATAACCATTTTCTATTTGAATGCATTTTAAAATGTAATTTATTCCTGTGATGCAAAACTTTTCTTTTTTTTTTCAAAACTGAACTGAATTTTCAGCATCATTACTCCAGTCTTCAGTGTCTCATGATCCTTCAGAAATCATTCTAATATGCTGATTTGCTGCTCAAGAAACGTTTCTGATTTTTATCAATGTTGAAAACAGTTGTGCTGTTTAAAGGGGTGGTTGATTGCGATTTCACTTTTTTAAAGTTAGTTAGTGTGTAATGTTGCTGTTTGAGCATAAACAATATCTGCAAAGTTACGAAGCTGAAAGTTCAATGCAAACGGAGATATCGTCTTTTAAAATTCTGGCAGTTTAATGCCTACAAAAATGGCTGGTAGGGACTACAACGAGTTACTTCCCGGGTTCGTGACATCACAAACCCAGTAAACCCCGCCCTCTTTGTTGCATGTTCCCAAGGGCGGGTTTATCTGGGTTTGTGATGTCATGCTGCGCTGCTTTAGAGAAGAGCAAGAGAAAACTACAGCTGCACGTAAAAATCTGTTCATATATGAATCACGATTCTGTCTTCTAACGATTCTAATGGATTCACAAGTTTCAAAAATAAATGTTCTAAAGCAGTGGTTCTTAATACTGTTCCTCGCGTCGCCTGCTCGGCCTCTCTCTCTCTCTCATTCAGATCATCAGCTCAGCTCGGTTCCATTTATACACTTATTTTCACATAGCTATGAGAAGCGTTAAACATGGACGCGCCTGCAGTTGTCTTACTGTATTAAAGCTTTAATCAGGATAAAACCGTATATTAAAAGATAACAGAAGCAGATTAGACGTGCACTAGGGGCGGTTGAGCCAATCACAACACACTGGACTAGGTAACCAATCAGAGTCCATCGCATATTTCTAAGTGAGGGGCTTAATAAAAGCAAGAAAAGAAACACGCATTTATCAGAGAAGGGACAGAGCGGTGAAGAATAAAGGTAAATTATGTGAAAAAGAATGCGTTTTTAAAAAAAACAAAAACGAAGCATGAACATGTTAGACTGCACCCCATAAACACAATCAAGCCTAGAAAAAAAACAGTGAACCACCCCTTTAATGATATATAACATATTATATAAAATATTAAATTTCTTGTAACAATTCACAGTATGCGGTAAAATAAAGTAAATCTCCTCTGTGTTATGACGGAAAATAAGAATTTTATCTGAACAGGATAAGCAATGATGCAATGTGCATCCAGTTCAGCTGGCAGGTCAAAGGTGACTCGGTTTCAGCACATTAGGTCATTTATTCCTGATACTTTTTGTTTCAGTAAAGAGATCTTTGTAAGTGTGTGTTTGTGTGTATGTGACCACAAGCTTGCATTTCTTTGCTCATTTTATCAGGCTTTCATGAATCATGTCGCTGTAGGTCTGAGCCGCTGACTCACGGGAGATAAAATGGGTGTGTTTTTGTTTTCGACAGGTTGCAGGTTCACAATCTGTGTGTTATTGTCTCAGAGGTCAGACTTCCCTCTGTTCTTTGTTGTAAGGAGTTGCATTAATGATTACAGGTTTGGCTCCTTTGACTTCCTGTGTAATTAGGTTGCGGCTAAATCGCCACCAACCATCGACGTGTGTGTGTGTGTGTGTGTGTGTGTGTGTGTGTGTAAGTCGTCATTTTGTCTCAGATGAGTGGCGTCACTGAGCTGTTCAGGTGAGGTGTGACTCATTCAGAGTCAGGTAGAAGGATGTGTTAAACACAGGGGAGCTGCAGCGGCCAGTCAAACAGTCTCCATGTGTTTGTCAAAGGCTGTCCTCCAACAATGCAATCAACACTCGGGGCTTTGTAGAAAACGAAGCGTTTGAGAGAGGCGGGGCATAGAGGACCTACAATAATGTACAGTATTTGAAAAATAATGTGTTTTTTGAACATTAAAACATGTCAACATATTCTGTTACACCAAATACACAAAATAATGATCTTTAAAAAAGCATCATATGACCCCTTTAAAAAATTAATATCATAACAAAAATAAACGGTATGAACCGGTATACCGCCCAGCACTAATCAGGATAAAACAGTATATTAAAAGCTAACAGAAGCAGCAGCATTCACAAATAACAGCGCATCTAAAAGTATGAGACAACAACAAACATACCATTAAGAGCTGTGCTTGCACAGGTTCTGCGCGATCCTCTTCACCAATATCCTCATGGCTCAATCGGGCTCAAACTGATAAGCAATATAGACGATGCCATTGTTTCCAATACAACCGGAGCACATGCCGCTGAAGTGAGGGGCGAGACACGCACTAGAGGCGGTTTAGCCAATCACAACACACTGGACTAGCTAACCAATCAGAGTCCATCACGTATTTCTGAGGGAGGGGCTTCAAAAGCAGGAAATGATCAGCTCGTTTATCAGAGAAGGGACAGAGCGGTGAAGAATAAAGGTAAATTATGTGAAAAATAAAGGTTTTTTTAAAAAACAAAGCATGAACATGTTAGACTGCACCCCATAAACACAATCAAGCCTAGAACAAAACCAGTCAACCACCCCTTTAATGTTTTTGTGGAAATGCATTTTATTCA